CGGCAGCAACTGGACACACAGCAGGTGGGGCGGCAGCAGCTGGACACACAGCAGGTGGGGCGGCAGCAGCTGGACACACAGCAGGTGGGGCGGCAGCAGCTGGACACACAGCAGCTGGGGCGGCAGCAGCTGGACACACAGCAGCTGGGGCTGCAGCAGTTCTCCTGGCCTTGACCACAGCCCTGGTCAGAGCAGATGGAGCCACAACAGGAGTTGACCATGATGTCAGTGATAGAGGTTCTGGGTGTGTTTCTGGGAATGTGGATGTCTAAAGTTTTGAAGACCTCTTTCCTTGTGCTCCCTTTTATACTCTACTGAGGAACTTCTGTGATTATGAAAAGGTTATTTCCTTGTTTATATGACTACAAGTACAATTAGTAAATTCTATCATTGTATTTTTCCAAATATATAGAAATTAGTTGTTTCCCTTTTCTCAAATCCCCTGGTGTTTCCTTCCAAATGAGTCACCATGTGTGTTTCTGTCTTTGGTTTCAGCATAAGGCTCTATAGTACCACGTGATATGGACAAGTCAGTCTCACTTGTCTGTTTCCTTGATATGAATTTGGGAGAACTTCTGATGGGTACAGATCCTAGTGGAGAAATACCTGTTCAAACAGATGGAATGCTGGTAGGAAAAAGGAAAGTAGACTCCTTTATATGAGCGTGAGAAATGAGGTAGAGTATATAGTTTCGTACATGCATCTAGGAGCCCTAGTGGCACAGTGTCTAAGTGCTTGGCTACTAACTGAAAGGCTGGCAGTTCAAACCCAGCAGCCAATCTGTGGGAAAGATGTGACATTCTGTTTCCATAAAGATTCCCCAAACCAAATCAAACTCACTGTAATCGAGTACTCATAGCAACCCTATATAGGGTTTGGTGGTGGTGGTGATATGCCCCCAAAGCCTCATCTTTCTCCCTCAGAGTGACTGGTAGATCCAAACTATTGACCTTGTGGTTAACAGTGCAGCTCATAATTCACATGCTACCAGGGCTCCTTACATAGGGTTTCCAAAGTTGTAAAGTGTTGTCAAGTTGGTTCCCACCCATATATATATAGGGTTTCCAAGGCTGGTGTGACACTGTGGATTAATGTGCTAGATTGCAAAGTCGGTTTGAACCACAAGATCAGCTGTTCAAGTTCACCAGCTGCTCCTTGGAAACTCTATACAGGGTTGCTATGGATCAGAACTGACTGGAAGGCACGTAATAACAACAATGATAACAAATATTCTCTGTAGCAGAAAGCCTCTTCTTTCTCCCATGGAGTGGCTGGTGGGCTGGGACCTTGAGGTTCACAGTCCAGTGATTACAATATGGAGCCACTGTGTTCCCATGAGCAGTTAGCAGTCCAGTGCATAACCCACTACACCACCCCGGCTCCTTTCCAAGTATGGTAGTGGCGTGAAAAAGTTTCCTTGAAAATTTTGTTCTGTTTACCAAATAAAAGAAAATTACCATAGAAAAAGCAGGGAAAACATGTAAGAAGGAAATGTAAAGTTTCCATAATACCACCAATGAGAGATCATTACTATTAGGATTTCCAATGATTACATTAATACTTTCTATAAATTTTTATATAATCGAGGTTATAGTGTATAACCTCAAGGTTTAAATATTTACATTTGCATTAAAATATACATAAAATACACATTTAATGTATATTATATATCAAACCTTATTTGATAATTGCTTATTTATTAGAGTATACATTTATACTCTAATAATGTACATATAATATTTTCAGGAAACAATATTACCAATTCCAGTGATCCCTGATGGTTATTTCATTCCATACTCATATTTGGTCTTTAAAAAGAGGAAATCTGACAATATTTTCAAGTCAAGAAAAGGGATGAGAAAAAGGTCCAGCTGTCCTGGGGATTCTTCCAGGGTAGCCCATGATTATTAATTACAACTGACCACATGGTGGATCTTAACCTTGCGTTTCCATACTAACATACCATCCTTCTGAGATTTCGTTATGGATGCATCTGGCTTCTTTTTCTATAAGGAATAATGTGAAATTCATGGTCTCCACATGAGGAAGAGTGACATACCATGTCACACTTCCATGACAATGAGTCTGTGTAAGAAGGTGCAGTGTCTCTAAACACAGATGATGCTAACAAGGAAGAGCAGGAGATGATGCAGGAAAAAGAGCAGATGGGCTGAGAGTTGACCCTTCCAGCTTACAATATTTAATCAACATCTGAGCCAAGATGATACACACAGAGGAAGATAGATAATATGTGATTCAGGAAGAGCCATTGGGACCAATCCAAACACATCAGGCAAGGAAAACAATGTCTTCTACCCTCTTGGAAAATATAATTGCCTTATTTTATAATTGCTTACTTATTAAAATAAACAATAACAAGGAAACAGCTCCCTCAGAAGGGTATAAAAGGGGATGTGTAGTAAAGAGACTTCCATATTCCAGAAATACACTCTCCTGGAAGCAAATCGAGAACCTCCACCCTCTGACACCATGGTCAACTCCTGTTGTGGCTCCGTCTGCTCTGACCAGGGCTGTGGTCAAGGCCAGGAGACCTGCTGCAGCCCCAGCTGTTGTCAGACCACCTGCTGCCGCCCCAGCTGCTGTGTGTCTAGCTGCTGCCGCCCCAGCTGCTGTGTGTCCAGTTGCTGCCGCCCCAGCTGCTGTGTGTCCAGTTGCTGCCGTCCCAGCTGCTGTGTGTCCAGTTGCTGCCGTCCCAGCTGCTGTGTGTCCAGCTTCTGCAGACCCCAGTGTTGCCAGTCTGTGTGTTGCCAGCCCACCTGCTGTAGGCCCAGCTGCTGCATTTCCAGCTGCTGCCGTCCCAGCTGCTGTGTGTCTAACTGCTGCCGCCCCAGCTGCTGTGTGTCTAGCTGCTGCCACCCCAGCTGCTGTGTGTCTAGTTGCTGCCGCCCCAGCTGCTGTGTGTCTAGTTGCTGCCGTCCCAGCTGCTGTGTGTCCAGTTGCTGCCGTCCCAGCTGCTGTGTGTCCAGCTGCTGCAGACCCCAGTGTTGCCAGTCTGTGTGTTGCCAGCCCACCTGCTGTAGGCCCAGCTGCTGCATTTCCAGCTGCTGCCGTCCCAGCTGCTGTGGTTCCAGCTGTTGCCGTCCTTCCTGCTGCCAGACCACCTGCTGTCAAACAACCTGTTACCGTCCCACCTGCTCTGGTGGTTCCTGCTGTTGAGTGTCCTTGGTTTCATCCTCAGTCCAGGCAGAGATGACTATTCAACAAAACATGCGGCGCTTCCTGAGTCCATAAACTTACAAATGGACCAAGAGACTGGTTTAGAAATGGCTGGTCTCGATATCATCACTCCCTTGATTCTCTTTAGTAGAAACATGATTAATAAATCAGAATTTTCAGTGAGATACTGTGTTAATTTATTTTAGAATTCCCAATTCTGATGCAAAATATAGGAGTCTTCAAATATTTCTTTTCTGTATTATTTCTAAGATTTTTTTCCCATGTGAAACAGCTTGATATTTACCAATAAAACCTTTAAGCATTCTAAGGCACTAAAATTTCTCATCTCTCATTATTAATTGTCATTGAAATATTCTTTTTTTTTTTTCCTTGCACAACATAGGACTGTATGTTCTTAGGACACTTTACAATAGAAAATTTAAACTGGCACTCATTAACATCAGTGGTTGAAACTTACCAGCCACTCAATTGGGAAACCAATTTTGTTGTTGTTAAGTACCGTGGAGTCAGTTCCAACTCATAGTGATCCTGCACAGGGTTTCCAAGGCTGCAAATCTTTATGGGAGCAGAAAGCCTCATCTTTCTCCCATGGAATAGTGGTAGTTTTGAACTGCTGACCTTGAGATTAGCAACCTGATTCGTAACCACTACACTACCAGAGCTCCTTCACCCTATATCGGGTCATTATGAGTCATGACCGACTTGAGGACACTTAACAACAACAACAATATGATTTTGGAGTCCTGGTATGGTGCTGTAGGATAAAGCACTAGATCTCAAGGTCTGTTTGAACTACAAGATTGGTGGTTCAAATTCACTAGCCGCTCCTTGGAAACCCTACACAGCGTTGCTGTGACTTGGAACAGACTAGATGGCACTTAACAACAACAACAGCAATGATATTTTATCCAGACCAGAATTGAGTCTGGCAGCAGTAATTAGAAATGGTTGAAAAGGTTTGGAATCTAAACCTGTAACCTGACAGTTGTAGATTGCAGTTCCCATGAATTGTATAAAGCCTATTTGAATAGTGGCAGCACAGTATAAAGAAAAGCCACAGACCTCACAGAAGAGAAAAGACCCCAGTGTCGCCAGTCTGTGTGTTACCAGCCCACCTGCTGTAGGCCCAGAGTTGGACAGTGTTAGATCTGATTTCTGACTCTACTGTAAACTAACTGTGGTCTTGGGCACATTGCTTAAACCACTGATCTAAAATGGCTTTTCATTAAAGGATCATAATGCCAAACTATTAATACTATCATAAAGATTCAAGGTGACAAAGGTACATGGTAAACAAATAAAAATGTGCTCCCTTCATCTTCAATTAGCCTCATTTCTATCTTTTTAAAAAGTTTTTACTTCGAAATAATTATAGATTCAAAGTAGTTGTACAAACAAGTACAGGAAAGTCTCATGTACCTTTGAACCAGTTTTAACCCATGGTAACATCTTGGGAGTGGTGGTGGTTATGTGCCATGGAGTCGGTTCCAACTGACAGTGACCCTGCATAGGGTTTCCGAGACTGTAGATCTCTATGGGAGCAGAAAGCCTCATCTTTCTCCCACGGAACAGCTGGTAGTTTCGAACTGCTGACCCTTAGATTAGCAGCCCAACTCGTAACCACTACGCTACCAGAGCTCCTGTGGTAATATCTTCCTGAATTATAAACCCCCAAACTAAATCCATTGGTGTTGTGAACTACAGGGAAACCTGTTTAAATGTAGATTCTGATTCAGTGAATCTGGGGTAAAAATTTGTACTTCCAACAGGTGGCTGACTGAAGTGAACTGGCAGGGCTGGAAGCCTGATTCCTAATCCTGTGAGGTTGGATTGAAGCCATTGGTTAATCCTGATGCAAGACAGACTGCTAGTGCAGCCCCTAGGATCACTTTGTTGTTTGTGTATGCTGGTAGTTGGTTCATAGGGATTCACATGACAGAGTAGGACTACCCCATAAAGTTACCTAGGCTAAAGGGTTTTCTCTGTTTGGGAACTTTTTATTGTGTTTTAGGTTTAAGTTTATATAGCAAATTAATTTTCCAATCAATAACTCACATACAGATTCCTCAGTGATATTAGCCGCAGTCCCCACACTGTGTCCCTTCTCCCCCTTTTCTCCCAGAGGTCCTTGCTTGTTTCCATTCCTCAGGTTTCCCTGTCCCTTTCTGCCTTCTCATCTTTGGTCATCTTTGGAAAATGTTGCCCTTTTTGGTTTCTGATACTTGACTTTCTAAGGTGTTATTGTTTCTTTTATAGGCTCCTCTATTAGTTGGCAGGACGGTGGCATCTGAGAGTGTCTACAGTTTCAAACTAGAAGGTTGTCTTAGGGCAATAGTCTGGGGGGTGGTGGGGTGGGTTCTCAAGTCTCCTTTAGATGAGTAAGTCTGGTTTTTGGTTTTGTTGTTTGTTTTTCATTTGAATTTTGTTTAACATTTTTTATTCACCCTTAGCAGGACCTTCTGTGTCATCCTGGTCAGAGTGATTGGTAGTGGTAGCTGAGCACCATCTAACTCTTCTAGGCTCCATTGGAGGAGACTGTGGTCCATGTGAGCCAATAGTCCTTTGGACTCATTGCTTCCTTGAGTCTTTGCTTTCTTCATTCTCCTTTGCTCCAGATGGGAAGAGATGAACAGTTGCTTCTTAGATGGCCAGTTGTAAGCTTTTACGATCAGACTACGATGCCAAACATTACATTTATGAACAATAAGCAATTATATTTATTTTCTAATAAGCAGTGTAATCAAAGACTTACTTGTGCTTCCTTACTAATCTATAGTGAACAATTTCACATGTTTTCACATCAGTGATCTTGCTTCTTCTGGCATCTCTCTTCCAACCCCACAGCATCTTTCTACAAAATCAAAGCCTCTTTTTAAGTTTATAGTCCCTGACAAAGGGCAGAGTACCCAGGAAGCAAGATGATCACAGGCTTACTTGTGCTGATTTACTAATCTAGAGTGAACAGTTTTACATGTTTCTTACCATATGCTTATTTGGTAATCCTTCTCTGACTACTGTACATTGGATATTTGTAAATAGCAATCCTGTTTTTCATGCCACCCTCTAGTCACTTCACCCAAGTCACTGTATATTCTCCCAACCTTAGGGGAAGCTACTCCTTGCTGTTATGACCCCTAGGTAGTGAGCTTTTCCTTGTTGCGTTCCCTCGACACTGTCCACATCTTTGTAAATATTCTCTTTACTACCCAAACATTCTTTTATCTTGTTTCTGCCATGGCCCAGGTCTTGTTGTAAAAACAGGAAATTATAAGCTTTGTGTTATTTAACATTGAGAAAGACAATATAAACTTATATTCTTTGATTCAGCTCTAGCCAATAAACACAGTGTTAAAACTAGAGTCTGTATCCTGTAATTAGCAGTTGGTAAAGGGAAACAGATAGAAATATAAAAGATGTGTTGATTCTGGTGTACCAAAAGACAGGCTCTACGAAATGGAGTCCTGGTGTGTCACTGTAGGATGATCACCCTGGACTGTTAACTACAAGACCGGTAGTTCAAACCCATCAACCACTCCTTGGAAGCCCTATCCAGGGTCTCTATGTTTTAGAACTGACTCATTGGCATTTCACAACAACAACCCTATAGAATGATTTAGAATAAGTTGGAAAGGGTGAAGATGAAAATGTCTGCATGGCATTTCTATGATATACTAAGAATATCCATGAAACCTATGTTGGAGTGAAGCTTACTTTTTGTCAGTGTCTATCCATTTTGGCTCTTGACATCTAAAAACTTTCTTTTTTTAATTAGAAAAAATAACAGTCAACAATTAGTTACACTTCTTTAGTTATTCAGAAATATGACACCACTTATGAGAAACCCTGGTGGTGTGATGGTTAAATGCTTTAGTGCTAACTGGAAGTCAGTGGTTTGAGCCTACTGGTGAAGACCTGGCGATCAGCTCCCATCAGGGCTTCAGCCTAGGAAACATTATGGGATGGTTCTACTCTGTCCTATGTGGTCATTATGACTTGAAATCAATTCAACTGCACACACAACAAAAATGTATAAAACACTAATGCATGAAATGTAAAACTTTAAGTTGTTTTTAATATGCTTTCATTCCTGAATTAAAACGCAAAACCCTTCTATCCGTATCAACATGATATTCTCTTTATGTATTGTGAAACAGCTTTCTCAGTCAAGTAGGATCATTCCAACCAAGCGAAGTGACGACAGCCCATAATGGGAGAGTAAAATCATCAGGAAAGGAGAAGACTTGGATAATATGAGACAAAAATGATGAAGAAATTTCAATATGGAAATGATAAAAGTTTGAATAGTATGAATAAAATTTTTAAATGTCTTATGGAAAAGTTGCCATGGATTTCATAATTTCCAGAGATTTGGGATTAGAAGGTCCATTTTGTATTCTGACAGAGACTCATATTTAGAAGGATAGGAAGGGAGGAAAAGAGGGAGGGGGGAAGAGAGAGAGGCTTGAGCTAGGTATTACACTCAGAATTTGCACACTCAATGATGGAACACTCTGAAAGTAGAAATGGAGCCAGGTGAAACTGAGATTTCTTCATGTTCAACTCAAAGTGTACTTTCAAATCCCAAGGAAAAACTATACAGGGTCACTGTGAGTCGGAACTGACTCAATGGCACTTAAACACAACAACAATACGACTCAAAAATTTGAGTTATAGTGGACAGTGAAACAATGATCTACACTTTTCTTGATGTTTTGTCAAAGAGAACAGTTGTTGTTGTTGTTGTTGTTGTTGTTGTTGTCAGGTGCTGTCGAGTGAGTACCAACTCATAGAGACCTTCTACACAACAGAACGAGACACTGCCAGGTCCTGCACCAACCTCATGATCATTGCTACACTTGAGCCCATTGCTGTTGTCACTGTGCCAGTCCATCTTGTTGGGACTCCTCCTCTTCTTCACTGACCCTCCACTTTACCAAGCATAATATCCTTCTCTGGGCACTGGTCTGAAGTATGAGATAATAATATCCGAAGTATGAGAGACTGAGTCTGGCCATCCTGACTTCTAAGGTGCATTCTGGTTGTACTCTTCCAACAGATTGTTTGCTCTTTTGATGGTCCAGGTTACTTTTAATACTCTCCTCCAACACCATAACTCAAATGCATCGATTCTTCTACAGTCTTCTTGATTCACTGTCCAACTTTCACATGCATATGAGGTTATTGAAAAGACCACGTCTAAGATAATATTCTAACCAAAAGTAATGCTTCAATAACTATAAAAGTGGTATTTATTGAGTGTCAGGCCCAGTGCTAAGTATATTGCATTAGATAATGTCTTTAAACTTTGAAGAAGACAATGTACGAAGGGGCTTCAGAGAGTTCATGGAAAAATTGAATGAAAAGGTAATAGAATTTTTCATGAACTTTTTGAGGACCCCTTGTAATATTCCCATTCCACAGGGAAATAAAAGTGAGGCTTGGAGAGGTTAAATGATTTTCATCATGTCATACAGGTAGTCTCAATTCCAACAAAAGTAATTTGAATCAAGAGCCCATACTCTTATTCATGCTCTACTTGCTTTCCTGCATTTGGAGCAAAATAGCTGTTGTCATTAATAGACAAGTAAACCTGATTGATTGGAAGAGATCAATATTTGTGCCCATTCCAAAGAGATGTGACCCAACAGAATGCAGAAATCATTGGACAATCTCTTTGATATCTCAAGCGAGTAAAGTTTTGCTAAAGGTAATACAGAAATGGCTACAATCACATTGACAGAGAACTTCCAGAGGTTCAAGCTGGATTCAGAAGAGGCCATGGAACAAGAGATATCATTGCTGATGTCCAATGGATCTTGGCTGAAAGCAGAGAATACCAGAAGGATGTTTACCTATGCTTTATTGACTACGCCAAGGCTTTCGATTGTGTGGATCATGACAAGCTATGGACAACATTGAGAAGTATGAGTATTCCAGAACACTTAATTGTACTTCTGAGAAATCTGTATCTAGACCAAGAAGCAGTTGTTTGAACAGAGCATGGGAACACTGAATGTTTAAAAATTGGGAAAAGTGTGCGACAAGGTTGTGTTCTTTCACCATACTTATTCAACCTGTATGCTGAGCAAATAATACAAGAAGCTGGGTTTTATGAAGAAAAACGTTGCATCAGGATTGGAGGAAGACTCATTAACAACCTGTGATATGCCGATGATACAACCTTGCTTGCTGAAAGTGAGGAGGACTTGAAACATTTATTTATGAAGATCAAAGAGCACAGCCTTCAATATGGCTGCATCTCAATGTCAAGAAAACAAAAATACTCACCACTGGACCAATAAACAACATTCTTATTAATGGAGAAAAGATTGAAGTTGTCAAGGACTTCATTCTTCTTGGATCAACTATCAACACTCACGGAAGCAGCAGTCAAGAGATCAGACGATGTATTACATTCGGCAAATCTGCTGCACAGGAACTTTTTAAAGTATTGAAGAGCAGAGATGTCAGCTTGAGGACTAAGGTGCGCCTGACCCAAGCCATGGTATTTTCAATAACCTCATATGGATGCGAAAGCTGGACAGTGAATAAGGAAGATCATAGAAGAATTGATGCCTTTGAGTTGTGGTGTTGGAGGAGAATCCTGAAAGTGCCATGGACTGCCAAAAGAACCAATAGATCTGCTTTGGAAGAAGTACAGCCAGAGTGCTCCTTGGAGGCCAAGATGGCTAAGCTTTGTCTCTCATACTTTGGACATATTGTCCAGAGGAAACAGTCGCTGGAGAAGGATATCATGCTGGGTAAGGTGGAGGGTCAGAGAAAAAGAGGAAGACCCCTAACGAGATGGATTGGCCAGGTGGTATCATTGATGGACTCAAGTGTGGCAGTGGTAGTGAGGTTGGCCCAGGATCGGACATTGTTTAGTTCTGCTGTGCATGGGGTTGCTATGAGTTGGTTCTGACTCGATGGCACCTGACAACAACAACAACAACAACAAACACACACCAAATTGTTAACAAATCGGGGATTTCAATCTAACAAAATGGAGATGTTTATTAAGAACACATGGACACAATATGAGCTCATTGCAATCAATGTTGTTGTTGTTAAGTGCCATCGAGTCGGTTCTGACTCAAAGCGACCCTAAACAGGGTTTCCAAGACTGTAAATCTTTATGGGAGCAGAAAGCCTCATCTTTCTCCCACAGAACAGCAGGTAGTTTCGAACTGCTGACCTTGAGGTTTGCAGTCCGATTTGTAACCACTACGCTACCAGAGCTCCTTTGCAATCAATGTAGACTTACAATAAAAACATCACTAGTCTAAAAATAAATGAATTTAGGACTTGGTCAAAATTATTCTATAAATGCTTTACATCAGCCATTTTCTAAAAGAGCTGGATGCAAACTCCGAATGCCCAATCAGAAGGGAGACTGTAGTTACAAGTCCAGTCCTCGGTCATTGGCTGGCTACAATCCGTTTTGTATGACTTGTGACATTCAGAGTCTGGTTTACAGAGATGAGAAGCAGAGATTAGCAGCAAGGGGTGGCACAGCAGGTAGGGCGGGGGCAGGTGGAGATGACACAGGTTGGGCGATAGCAGGTGGTTTGACAGGAGACTCGGCCACAGATTGGGCGGAGGCAGCAGCAGGGGCGGCAGCAGCTGGAACCACAGCAGCTGGAGCTACCACAGGAAGGGCGGCAGCAGCTGGAGATGCAACAGCTGGGTCGGCAACAAGTGGGCTGGCAGCACTGGGGCCTGCAGCAGCTGGACACACAGCAGCTGGGGCGGCAGCAAGTGGGTTGGCAGCAGCTGGGACTGCAGCAGTTCTCCTGGCCTTGACCACAACTCTGGTCAGAGCAGACGGAGCCACAACAGGAGTTGACCATGGTGTCAGAGGGTGGAGGTTCTGAGGGTGTTTCCAGGAGAGTGAGGTTCTTGAGTTTGATGTCTCCTTCTGGCACAGTCCTAATAGGGTCTGTTGTCAACATGCTGTCCTCGTTTTTGTTAACTGATAGAAGTAATTCTCAGTTTCCTTAATGACTTAACTTTGTTGGAAACAAAAATTTCCATTCCATATGTGTACATGCTAATTCCCATCTCCAATTGCTCCTAATTTACACATTGCTGGCATTTTATAGACCACACTCTTCTTCCTCCACGGAAGCTTATCATGTGATATTCTGCATTTGGAATTGCAGAGTTCAATCAGTCTTCCTTAAGTAGGGTGGGATCTGGACATTTCTTGGCATACATTTCTTTCAATGACCATCTCATAGTGTATCATCTGTCATGGGTCATTTTTGAGCAATGAAAAATGGGACATCTCTGTGTGTGTATGACCCAGGTGACCTTTATACCTCTGGAACGGGTTCCCCTGGGTGGTTCAAACTTTGGCTTATGTTCAACATCCTTAAATTCCGATAGAAAATTTATCTGTGCAATTCATCTTACTACAATGTTACATACTCACTTAAATTATTACTTTTCTATTTAATGTTTGTGTCATATGTCTCCATCTGGTTCCTTAGATTCTGGAAGATGAAGCCTCATTTTTGTTCCATGTCTCACTCTTAATTAAAAAATAAAATTACTTTATGATGCAAAAAGAAAAAGTTGAATAATGAGAATATGCCTGTCTTCAATTCATCTCCATAGCTGGGAAATCTACAGCATGAGTTGTTGTTGTTTTAATCAATTAGAAATGTCAGTGTATTTTAATAAATTCAACTTTATTGAATTACTTTGTTTTACTTAACCTCTGTTTAGTGGTACTCCAACTTTAGCATAAGAATCATCCAGAGGGCTAGCACAACTCCCAGAGTTTCCGATTGCTTGGCAGAGCTCAGTCTTCAGGTGCCCAGCTGATGCCAATGCTGCAGGTCTGAAGACTACACCCAGAGACCTGCTTTATCCTGCCAGTCAAGTCTTATAATCAAGTCCCTGCCTTACTTATAAAAGAAACTTGTGGAGGACACATCCCGGAATTGTCAACATGGCAGCTGCAGCAAGATGCCTCGGCTGACTTGGAACAACAGGGCTCTGGGATACAGGGATTAAGACATAGTTGGAATGGGGAAAAGAGGGGAAATAATGTTAAGATGCTTGCCTGTCTTTTGAATCTTGGTTTCCCTGGCATACCATTATAAAATAGGCACTTGAGGGGGAGAGAAAAGAATAGCCAGAAATATCACCATAGAAAGCTTGCAAGTCCATCTTCTGCCTATAACCGATTGGAATACCAAAAATGAGGCTACAACGTGCCCAGTGAAGGAGGATTCCTGCAGAGCCTCTGCATTACATAAGACCATAGGTGGAATCCTGAACTCCATCCAGAATCTTCTAAGGTGGAAAATTTCCAATTGAAATGACAAGCAGACCAGCCTGAAGCAGCTAGAAGAACAGAAGATACGTCTTGAAAGAAAGACCGACAGAAAAAATACAAAACAATATAGGCAATCCGACTGATTACTACAAGAATAAACAAGTTGATTGGAATACCTAAACTGGGACTACAACGTGCCCAGTGAAGGAGGCTTCCTGTGGAGCCTCTGCAATACACAAGACTATAGGTAGAAGCCTGAACCACATCTAGATCTCCAGAGATGGGAAATTTCCACTTGAAAAGACGAGCAGACCAACCTGGAGCGGCTAGAAGAACAGAAGATATTTCTTGAAAGAAAGA